GAGAACATCCTTGAAAGGAAGCTCAAAGAGCGGCTCGACCCTATGACGAAATCAGTCGAGTCGATCACCCAGCGGATGGAACAGGTGGAGCTGAATGTGAAGAACAGCGTGGACGAGATGAGGAAACGCATGGACGCGTTTGAGCAGTCCGGCGTATCCAAGGACATCACCATAAAGATCCAGGATAATGACAACAAGATCCACCATCCAGCAGAGCAGGTCGACCAAATGAAGATGTACTTCGATGGGACTGGCACCGCTCCACCATCGTGGAACGGTTCCCCGAGAACTACACCTACGGAAGAACGAAACATCACTGCGGTGGTCAGTGGTCTCGCCGACATGCAGGAGGAGGAGGCAAAGGAGTGGATTCAAAATCAGCTTTGGGAACTTTGGGTACCTATGCCTGCACAAGTGTATGCCAACGGGGACTTCACCGGCATCCTCTTCCTGAAGTTCCGCACGGAGGATGAGAGAGAGCAGGCGATCAAGGCAGTCAGGGAGAACTCACTGAATTACGGGCATAAAAAGGTCAACATATTTCCAGACGCGCCTCCTGACGAACGGATCCCACAATCATTTTTGTTTGCTCTCAAGCGTTTCCTGGTGGAATTGGACTACGATAGGAAATGCGTGTGGGTTGACATTCCAAGCAAATCTTAGTACGTAGGTGGAGAGAGAGTCATCAGTACTGGAGTGGACGGCATGTATCTCATCGCAGATTTTGGGGAAGGTTGGGGAGATTTTCTTCGTTGCGAGAAGCTCGAGGACATGGTGAACACGTACAAAGAGAAGCTGAAGAGAAGCCTCACGCCGAAGAAAGGCAAGGGCGAAGGCCAAGGCAAGAGCAATGCAGGACGGGCCGAGGGCCCGGAATAGGGACAAGGCCGATCGAGTCAGGCACCACCCCATCCACGGGATGGGAAACTGCATGCGTTCTGCAAAAAGTGCGCGGCTCAATGGCCCACACAGACTTGCGCAGAGCTGATCGTTGAATTAAGGGCTTTAGACTGGGACAATATTATATTCAGTGAAACTCGCTCGGAAAGTCAAGCAGTGGAGTTGGAGGGTGGGCATCGTCTATTCATGCACCGTGAAGATTGCTAAGCGTCAAATGTGGGCGTATTGATACATGCACGGTTGGTTGGCAACATTTGTTCGACACATCTTGTTTCTGATCGAGAGCTCCGTGTTGTTTTGCAGCTCGCTCAACGGAGGGCTTCATTTGGTGTTATTTATTTACTTAATGCGGGATATCCGGCTGAAGCTTTGGACCAGGTATACGCGCAAATGCACCAGACGCTGACAAAAGCAGTTCGAGACGGAAACGCAGTCGTGGTGGGGAGCGATTTCAATTCACAAAGGGGATTTGGAGTGCGTGGCCAGAAGATGGCTGAGATGGCGGCCGCTTTCAACTTGAAGGTCGTCAGCGGTGATGGGAATGGACGTGATGAGCACAGTTGGACCCTTAAGAGTAGTTTGGGGCAGGTGCGGAGGATTGACTTCATTCTTACATCTTCGTACCTGCACGTGTCGACTTGGAATGCGTCAGGACATGTGGACTTGGGGTCAGATCACCGTGCTGTGTACGTGGAGCTCGTCGTTGGGAGGATCTCGCGCCGGCGAGCCGAGGGAGCAAGATCATCGATGCGAGGGTGGACTCCTTTCGAAGACGACGCTGTTTTCCAAAAGGCCTTGGACGAGAAGCTCACAAACCATGCGCCGTCGTCGTTCCTCGAAGCGGATGCGTTACTTTTCGACACAGCTGCAGCTCACGGAGAAGGCGCGCGCCGCAAGCGACGACGGTTCAACGACCAGCCGTGGGACTCACCTCACTTTCAGGACCTTCTTCAACAGAGGCATCATACACGCGACCCCCAGCAGCGCAGAGAGCTTTCTAAACAAAGCCAGAATCATATCCGCAGAGAGCTCAGGAAACAGAAAATCAACGATTCCAACTTATCCTCGACGAGTTCATCGAGCTCGACCGGATCAGCGACGCAAGAAGACTACCGGCATGTTCCTCTGAACTTGGATCTGGCGCGCAAGCAGGGCCGGATGATTTTGCCACCTATCTGGAAGGGATCTTCAGGACTGGATGGACGCACTCATCTGGATCAGCTTCTGCATATCTACCTATACGACCACCCTGCGGGTGATAAGGAGGTTGTGGGGGGGGGGTGGGAGGGGAGTGGCTCATGACGACAACTGTGGTGAATGTGGTGCTGATGGCCGATCATGGTGTGGATGACGTGGCGGATTTTGTTTTGTTCTTTCGCTTGGGCGTTTTGTGTCATTCGGTTTGCCGCTGCGCGACGCGGCACTCACCCCACGACGGTCCGGTCTCACAATCGATGTCACTATCGATCTCACCATCGATCTCACGATCGATCCCACTATCAGACTATGGATCTCACAATATATCTCACTATCGATCTCACTATCGATCTCACATACGGTCTCACCATCGATCTCCATCGATATCACTATCGATGTCACAATCGATCTCGCATTCGGTCTCATTATCGATCTCACGATCGATGTCACTATCGATCTCACTATCGATACCACGATCGATCTCACTATCGATCTCACGACAGGACACCGACGGGACACCGACGGGACAAGGCGGGCTCGATTTTTCAATCGATCTCAAAATCGGTATCACGATCGATCTCACAATCGATCTAACTATCGATCTCACAATCGATCTCACAACCGATCTCACTATAGATCCCATTATCGATATCACATTCGATCTCACAATCCATCTCACTTTCGGTGCCACTATCAATTTCACGATCGATCTCACTATCGATCTCACTACCGATCCAACATTCGGTCTCGCATTCGGTCTCACGATCGATCTCACTTTCGGTGTCACGATCAATTTCACGATCGATCTCACTATCGACCTCACGACACGACAACGGTGGGCGACCGACGGGACAATGCGGGCTACCGCTTGACACGCGCCGGCGGGGGAAACATTGCTATTGGCGAACCCCCAGCGAAGACAGGACAACGGCGGGCGACCGACGGGACAATGCGGGATACCACTTGACACGCGCCGGCGGGGGAAACATTTATGTTGGCGAACCACTAGCGAAGACAGGACAACGGCGGGCAACCGACGGGACCATGCGGCCCACCGCTTGACACGCGCAGGCGGGGGAAACATTTATGTTGGCGAACCACTAGCGAAGACAGGACAACGGCGGGCAGCCGACGGGACAATGCGGGCCACCGCTTGACACGCGCCGGCGGGGGAAACATTTATGTTGGCGAACCACTAGCGACAGACAGGACAACGGCGGGCAACCGACGGGACAATGCGGGCCACCGCTTGACACGCGCCGGCGGGGGAAACATTTATGTTGGCGAACCACCAGCGACAGACAGGACAACGGCGGGCAACCGACGGGACAATGCGGGCCACCGCTTGACACGCGCTGGCGGGGGAAACATTTATGTTGGCGAACCACTAGCGACAGCAGAATGAATTCCTCTCGCCCACGCACGCAGCTTCGCCTCGCCCGCACGCACGACACGAACATGAAACCGAAACCGATTTCCCGGTGGGGGGCTCTCCGTTCCACTTCGATCTCACCCCCCAACCTCCGACAATCTATAATGGACGGCTGTTCTACGAGAATACGCCCATGTGGGAGCTTCGGCGTGCACTGAAACCGATGCAACTTCGGAGGGGTTCAGATGAGTTTTGGGTCGTCGCGGAAATGTTCAAAGCATCTTCAGATAAGTTATTGGGCCTTCTACTTGACCTGTTCAATAAGATTTTGCAGGAGGGCGTAATTGGACAGTACTTTCGATGCTACCGAAGACTGGTGACCTGAGACTTCCGCAGAACTGGAGGCCCGTCGCAATGCTAATAATATCATACAAGCTCTTCGCACGTCTGTTGTACCACCGCCTTCGTGGAGTGCTGGACGCACAACAATCAGACGACCAAGTTGGTTCCCGAAGTAAAAGATCGGTGGACGACGCCTTCATTGTATTCGAGACTGTCTGTGGCAAGTGCTTGGAATGGAATGTGCCTATGTGATGTTTAAGTTTGGACTTTAGCAAGGCCTTCGATCGAATCGAATTCCAACCGCTGCTTGATTCGCTCCGGAGCCAAGATGTGGGAGACGAGTACATCGCCAGGTTGTCCATCATCTATGCAAACCAACGCGGGCGAGTTCGTTGTTCTCGTCGTTTTGAGATACAGCGAGCCGTTAAGTAAGGCGACATCCTGAGCCCGCTGCTTTTCAATGCGGGGGTCGAAGCAGCACTTCGCAAATGGAAGACCAGGATAATCGGGAAAGGAGTTCGAGTTGATGGAGGGGACGCCTTAACAAACATCAGATACGCGGACGACATCATGATTTTCGCGGCATCACGTGCGGATCTCATCGTAATGGCCACCGCGCTGAAAGAGGAATTTACGAAAGTCGGTCTCAACCTGAACGCCGGTAAGACCAAGGTACTTACGACAGCATGCGACATCAATCTTGGTTCGTTGGACATCGGGAGCGAGCCCGTGGACGTCCTAAACGGCGACATGGCACACAAATATTTGGGAAGGAAGCTGTGCGGCAACCTCCGTTCGAGGAGTTTTCTTGAGTTTGGCCACCGGATTCAAATAGCATGGATGAGATTTCATCAGCATCGTGAAGTTCTGATGAACAAGCAATTGAGCATATACTCCCGGATCAAGTTCTTCGACACAGTAATCACTCCAACGATATTGTTCGGCCTCTCGTCTTGTGCAATGACGCGGACACAAATGAGCTCATTAGATGTGCTTCAGCGGAGGATGTTTCGAAAAATCGTTGGGTGGGTTCGTATGGAAGGTGAGCCGTGGGACGAAACAATGCGGAGGATGAGGCTGAAAGTGAATGCTGCTCTAACAACTTACTCGATGGAAGACTGGAGCGTCCAGTTGCTACGACGGCAATACAGGCTGGCTCATCGTGTTGGCACGATGTCGGGCAGCTGTCCTGCAAGAGTATCGCGTTGGCACCCACCTGCAACGTGTCCTGAGGCTGGACGATCACGCGGACGACCCGCTGTGAGATGGGACGACTATCTGCGCAAGTTTGCAAGGGAGTATTATGAAAGCGAATCGTATGAAGTGAGTGCGGACAATTCTTCTCACGAGCACGAAGAGGACTTTGTGCGTTTTTCCCTCGGGCTCCAAGAGTGAGGCTTGAGGTTCAACACAGTCGCGCCCGATTCTGGGCCGAGCATTGACTCGATCGGACTGCCTGCCTGCCTGCCTGCCTGCACCAAGGGGGTAGGGGAGGGGGGATGGTCTCTTGGAGAAAGGCTGCTTCTCAGCAGGTACCAACCCTACATCTACAGACAAGGCCCGTGCCTTCTAATCAGCAGGGATGTTACTAAGAAGCCTTCCCCCCTCCCCCTGCCCCCCCTCTGCGCATGGCTGGAGTGTCACATGTAAAATGCGTAGCAAGGACGGGTGTGAGGACGCAAGAACCGTGGAGGCCGAAGCTGTTTGTTTTGGCGGCGGGCGACCATTGAAAACGACCAAAAACGGGCCGCGGAGGCAAGGACAAAAGGGCACCCTAGATGAAGGCGCGCGTCCTTACTAGGCGCGTTGGTTGCATTTCCGCCTGCTTCTGCGGTCCTTCTGCTGGCTTCCACCGGCGGAGACGCCGTCGTTTTGCCTCCGCCAGCTCCTGCCGGCCTTCCAGCACTTCCCGCCGGGCAGAGGTGCCAGCCCCACGAGTCCTTGATTGCGATGAACTTTCTGGAAAGCCTCTCCTCCTCCTGTACATATGTAAACTAATGCAGATGCATGTGCGTACGCCTATATGTGTATGCATGTGTGCATGCACGCATGCCCGCATGCATGCATGCATACATGTATGTATGAGTGTTTGTATGCATGTATGTGTGCATGCATGCATGTATGTATGCATGTATGTGTGTATGTGTGTATGTGTGTATGTGTGTATGTGTGTATGCATGAATGTATGCATGCATGCATGCATGCATGCATGCATGCATGCATGTATGTATGTATGTATGTATGTATGCATGCATGTATGTATGTATGTATGTATGTATGTATGTGTGTATATTTGTATGTATGCATGTGCGCATATATATATATATATATGTATGTATGTATGTATGTATGTATGTATGGATGGATGTATGTATGTATGTATGTATGTATGTATGTATGTATGTATGTATGTGTGTATGTAGGTGTACGTGCTTATACATATACATGCGCACTAGAACCACCCGCGCGCTTCGCGTGCTTAATTAAGTCCTAGCGAGGCGCAAGCATACTATTTGTGGTCAAACCTTGGGGTTGGAAGCAGGTGCAAGAGAATCGAGGGCTCGCTGAAGATTCACTGAGGACGGGGAACCGTGAGGAATGAGGACGCACAAAGACAACCTGAGGAATGAGGGAGCGAAAATCACAGGACCAATCGTAGGAACAGCAAGGAGATCTGCCTCCAGGCAGCCTCTTTCGCAGCAAACCCCGACCGCGGGAAAGGGCTGTGCGCCCCACAGAAGTGCACACAAATTCTACGTTTTGGCGGGATTTCGTCCGTTAGCAGGGCGGGCGTTGCGTCGCTCGCGCTGCCGACGCGTCGCGTCCAGAGCAACGATTCCACGCTCGCGCCAGAAATGCGAGAAGCACAGGCACGCACCACCCGCAAGCATATTCAAAGCGAAACAAAGCCGAAGAAACGCCCTCTTGTTTGACCCCTCGCACCAAGCAGGTTATCGTGCCGACCCCAGCGGGCGGGGCTCCGCCGAACCGCGCGGCCGGCGCGGGACTGGCGGGCTCACAAGTCTTGGGCGCCATACTCGAGAGCGAGCCAGATGCGGGCCTGGCAACGACTGACACAGAGCTGACATTGGTCCGACATCGCTGCAGAGCGGGTGGGGGGGCGGCAAAGGATGTCGAGCCCCTGAGAACTCCGTGCACCCGTGAGCAGTGAGCGACCCGCCTCGCTGGTCGCGCGCCCGGTGACCATTCAGACGCCCACAGTGTGACCACTATGGCGCCCGCTACCGTTTCGGGCCAACAATGTCCAGGAGGAGCAACGCCCCGGATGGCACTCGAACGACATCGAAAACACATCTTCCGACAGGGCAAGCGGACGCAATGGGCACCGTAATGGTCACACGGAAAATTGAGTGAGCACCACAGTGGTCACACGGAAAAAAAAATGGCCACAGAGGGACAATTAGTGGCCACACCTAAGAAAGTTCGTGGCCACACCTAAAAACTGCATGTGCGCATCGCTGCAGCAACGATCTGCGAAGGTACGTCGTCACTCTGAGGCGTACGCAAGCGAAAAAACGAGTTTCCCTTCGTCCTCCCTCCTTTTTCCTCCTCCTCCTCCTCCTCCTCCTCCTCCTCCTCATCTGCCTCCTCTCCTCCCTCCTCCCTCCCTCACACCCTCCTCCTCCTTCTCCTAATGCTCTTCCTCCTCCTCCTCCTCCTCCTCCTCGTCCTCCTTCTTACTCCTCCTCCTCCTCGTCCTCCTCCTCCTCCTCTCCCTCCTCATCAGATTCCTCCTCCTTATCATCGTCGTCCTCCTCCTCAGCACACCCAAACCCGCGATGCACATCACAGAAAAGGCGATGCACATCACAATTGCGAGTGCTTATTGGTGGGAACGCCTTTTCGTGATCCCCCGCTAGCCGGGTCTATGACCTCTTGGGGGCTCTCTGGAAGCCCTCCAAATGGCGTCTTGGAGGCCTCCTGGGCTGCTTGGTGCCATTTCAAGCCGTCTTGGAGCGCTCTGAAGCCGTATCGGACCCCTGTTTGGCCGCCCCGAGGGCGTCCTGGAGCCAGCGTTGGCAGTCATGGGAGCATCCTGGCGCCTCTGGGGCGCCTGGACCACAGCCAATCGGCGAGTTGAGTCCCTCAGGGTCCAGGACCCCGCCCGATTATACATATATATACATACATACATATATGTAGACATGTTTCAAATATGTATGCATGTCTGTCTGTCTGTCTGCCTGTCTGTCCGTCTGTCTGTCTGTCTGTGTGTCTGTCTGTCTGTCTGTCTGTATGTCTGTATGTCTGTACGTAGATGTATGTGTACGTGTGTGCATACATACATACATACAAACATACATACAAACATACATACATACATACATACATACATGCATGCATGCATGCATGCATACATTCATACATGCATACATACATACATACATGCATACATACATACATACATACATACATTCATACATTCATACATTCATACATTCATACATACATACATACATACATACATACACAGACATGCATATATACATGCATACAGAGTTTAAGAAAGCTACAACCTGAGCTTCAGCTCTGCTGGGGGGGGAGGGGCCGGGGTGGCTCTGCCGGGGTAGGGGGGAAGGGGGGGGGATTCATCGGGTCCACCCTTTCTCCCCCCCCCCCCCCGGAATCCCAAACCGTCCCAAGACGGGCCAAAAGGGGCCCAGGAGGCCACCAAGACGGTCCAGGACCCCGAAACGGCCCAACAGCGCTCCTGGACGCCCAAGATGGCCTGAAGACGGCCCAAGAGGCCTCCAAGATGCCTCAAGGAGATCCCAAGAGGACCCCCAAGAGGGCCCCAAGAGGGTACAATAATAAAGTTGCTAATAGGTTTTGAAGCATTTTAGCATTATCACCTTTTCCGTCTTAGAAGCGCCGAAGACGGTCCAAGAGGCCCCCAAGATCGCCCCAAGACAGCCCAAGAGGCCCCCAAGAGGAGCCAAGACGGTCCAAGAGGGCCCCAATATAGCCCTGGAGGCCCCCCAAGACGACCCTGAGAGGCCCCCAAGATGGCCTCAAGAGGGTGGACCCGAACGGACCCTTCTAGTCCTCCACCCCAAGATGACCCCAAGAGCCCCCAAGATGCCCCCGAGGCGCCCCCAAGGGGCCCCCAGAGGCCCCTAAGTGGTCCCCAAGAGGCCCCCAAGAGGACCCCAAGAGGCCCCCAAGAGGCCCCAAGGGCCTCCAAGAAGCCCCAAGAACCAAGAGGCCCCAGAGGCGCTCACTCGCGTGCTGCCAGACCAGAGGTGCACGGCCTGACTTGGTATTGCTCGGAAGCGAAAGCGATGAACGAAGAACCTTCCACCCGTCGCCGTCACCAGTCGTCGGTCGTCGGCAACCGTTCGCCGTCAGTCGTCGTCGTCGTCGTCGTCGTCGTCGTCGTCGTCGTCGTCGTCGTCGTCGTCGTCGGTTCGTCCTCATTAACTCCTTCGTCGGTCGTCGTCGTCGTAATTATCCCGCTCGTCGACCGTTGGTCGTCCGTTGTCGTCGTCACCGTCCATTTCAACAATAGTAGCATCAGGAGCGCCCCGGATCGGCGGCACTGGCCGGAGGCCACTACAATACATGCATACAGACAGACATACATGCAAATATACACGCTACAAACATACATGCATACACACATACAAGCATGCATGCATACATGCCTCCATACATTTATATATATATATATATACACACACGTACGTACGTACGTACGTACATACATACATACATGAATACATACATATACACACATCGGCACTATCACAGTTTTGACCCGCTTTATGCTTCCACCAAGACAAGTCTTAGGCGGGAGCGCCATGGCGAATTCGAGCTGAAGAAGTGCCGCCCTCTATTGTCGAGGTAGTCCTGGGAAGGAACGCTGCTTCTAAATCGAACCAGACGGGTGTCGAATTTCAGTTGCCAGGAAGTCCTGGGCGGGAGCGCCATTTCGAAATCGAACCCGAAAGGCTCCGATTTCTGTGTCGGAGGAAGTCCTGGACGGGAGCGCCATTTCGAAATCGAACCGAAAAGGCTGCGAATTCTAGTTTAAAGGAATCTTGGGCGGGAGCGCCATTTCGAAATCGGATCTGACAGTTTCGAAATCGTTCGAATGTTTTGTTCTGGGGGTCTCAAACAAAACCGTCGTTTCGAAATGGCCACACCTCTTGGCTTTCAAAATCTTCCTACCAGAGATTTCCAAAGTGTGGTTTTCACTTGGGCCCC